TTAAATTAGACAATGACTAAAGTTGTACATGTGGCTTGTTGTACACTCTTCATGTAATTACAAACAGTAGGGATTATAATGTATAATTCCGTATGCAAATACTAATAAAATCCTGTCAGCAATGTAAGCCGCCTTAAACAATAATAAAAAAAAAAAACTAATATTACAAAATATGATTCATTCTAACCCTAATTCCAATTCTAGCCATATAATGAAAATAGCAAATTAATATAGTAGAAATAGTAGTTTCTTATTAATATTATATTATAAATAAAATATAAATTTTGCTTTTTTATAAACTTTATAATGAACTACTACAGTGAAGTAATATTCTATTTAAACACTATTAAGAGCTCTTCTTCCATATTTTATGTTACTTGTATTGTATTAAGAAGGCTACATACTTGTAACAGTATCTTAACAATCATCTAACACATCAAATAATACAGAAGTTCTGAATAGCTAGATCTGAACACATGCAGAAGAAGAAAAAAAAATAAAAAAACAAAAATACTTAAAAACTAAAGTTTGAATCGATTTTGGAGTACTAATAAAAATTTTAGAAATTAAACTTTACATACTGTATATATCTTGCTAAGCTATCCGTATATCCTCTAAAGCTAATGCCCTAACTATACTTGCTAGCAAAATGAGAAAAACCCGGACAAATTCAAAAAATCAATTGCTATTTATAAAAAATTTAATCACAAAATAGTCTTGAAATTTTGCTAATATATAACTATAAGAATATATCGATATGATATTTGTTTGAATAAGGATTATTAATAAAATTTTTGAGATATGAATTTGGCCAGAGTTTGGACGAACAAACTAATTTTATAATAGTTTGGGATTTTGCCAACAAGTATAACCCTAACTCTAAATTTGAACTTAGTTTTATTTGCAAAGATTAAATTCCTTTTCAGGTTTGTATTACTCACGCAAATAAGTAAAACCCGGTAATACGAAGTCTGGGAATTGAGTAACAACGTTTTCGAATAATCAAATATCAAAATGTGAGATAAGTTCAAATTAGGGCTCTGCAACCCGGGCTTGTGCCTGTGCCTAACAAAAAGTTTGGCACAGGCATGAGCACAAAAACTTGGACACAAGCACAGGCATGGACATAAAAACTTAAACACAGGCATGGGTATAGGCACAAAAATTAGGCATGGGCATAGGCAAAGGCAATTCAAAAGGTTTCTATATACATTTAATTTTGCACTCATGCCGTCTGGCATTTTTGCATATGCCAATAATAGTGCCTAGCATTTTTGTGCAGGCAGCCAATATGGAGCACCAGCTGGCACGCTAGCACAGGTATGGTGAGCCAATCATGATTAAGTTTACTTCAGATTAGAAAAACAGACGGGACATTCAGTTGACTTCTAAAGAATAGGATCAGTTTTGGCTAGCAAGCTAGTGGTGCACCCTGATGGCGCGCCATGCACCAGAGTTTCGCTAGCCACCAGTGATGCACCACTAGAATTATAACTGCACCACCAACTCTAGCCTAGGTATAGCAGAGCCCTAGTTTAAGTGAAATATCCGATACCATATTGGGCACTGCACTTTATAAAACTAAATTCTGTTCTCATAATTGGTTTTAAAATTCTCTTTAATCTAAATAGTTATCGTTATTTATCTATTCATTTCATTACTATATTATATCTAAAAATCTTGTTATTTATAATTTTATTGATTTGACCGCATAAAGATGACAATTTTAGGCTTTTTTTTTGCGGTAAAAAAAAAAAAATCATTTATCTGGTTTTTTTTTGGTAATTTGAATAGTATTCAACTTATACACCCATTGTGAGAAAACTTCCTATAATGTTTAGTGCATTATTTTTGTTTGTATTGCAAATGATGCTTAAATAATTTACATTGCAAAACAGGTTTTAAGAGATCGACATTACGAATAGTAGAAAAAAGGAAGGACATTGATCCTTTGAACATACCAATACAGTTATCATATCGTTAAATAAATTTGTTATAAGCTCATTGGTTATCTGTTTAGGCTCGTGTTCAAATATCCCAAACACTGTTGTTTCTTATGCGTTAGTGGGATTAAAAATTTTACGTATCAATATTAGCTTTAAATAATTGATTCATTCGCGCTGTCTCTATTTAGTTAAGCATGTAAAAAGTTTCGTTTATGTAAATTATAAATAGAAAATTAAGATAATGTTTGATTTATAAAATTTTTCGATTAATTCTACGTATACAGTTACAAGTAATCAGATTTAGTTTTTAAAATTAAACAAATGGAATTACTATTATGCTTTTATGTACGTTGCCGGGATTTTAAATTTACTCAGTAAGTCAATATAATGTAATTTCTTCGCATTATTAGAAGATTTGGCGATCACAAATGGATATCTTAAATATTGTATTTACTATTTAATTCTTTTAATTATAAAAAAAACCCCCGATCCTTTGATATAAATATTAAAGTTACTATACTGCTCCCGAGAAAAATTTCCCATAAAATGCATATATATATAGAACTCGGTAACAGTAGATTAAAAATATAAAACAGATAAAAAATATTTCATAGCTGAATAAATACATGAACTACAGGTAACAAACACCAATTTATTTTCCGACCTTAACCCGCTTTTTTGTCGGCGGCGCTGATTCTTCATCTAAAAAAAAAAAAAAAAAACTGTGTTAAATAATTTGGATTTGATAAAGGAAATAATAAAATAATATGAATAGAATATCTAACCTTCGTCAGACTCTTCTTCATGATAATCGTCTAAATCAATTTCTCCTTCATCTATCTCATCTTCATCATCTTCAAAAGTGAAATAACTAGAAAATTAAATATAATGATAAATTATAATGACTGTTTCGTGAACGATAAAAATGACAATATAAAAATTTATTAATTACATCCAAGCCTGAGGATATAAGTCATCTCTAATTGCTCGTCCTAAATCCCAAGACACATCATCCGTATGATGATCTGTAAACCATCGGATAAGACTTTGTTCTTCTTCATCGCCTTTACGCTTTTTCGTAAAATCCTTCATATAAAACAAATGTCAGAATTTTTGGTTTATTTTATCTGCTAGTTAATGCAATCAAGACCAACAATTAAGGTGCTGTTTTCTACCTTGCCCTCATGCCATACAACATCAGTGGTTTTTATATGACGTCCTTCCGCATCTACGTAGAATTCCTAATTAAAAAGTTTGAGTAAAATGAATATACTAGACCAATAAAACAGATACTATAACACAGGGAATAGATTGCTATGCAAACCTTTACAATTTCGGTATTTGTGAAATAAGGATTTTCAGAAAATGTCAATTTAATCTTATAATTATCAATATTTTTTTCGTCTCTTTCGATAATTAGTTCGTTAAGGCATTGGACAACCTAATGGAAATATAAAATTTATATTAAAAAAAATTTGAATACCGGTATTCTCTTTTTAGTTTGTAATAATTAATAATAAAAGTATATTAAGCTATACCTCAAAATCATCATGATCTAGAAATTGGGCTATTATGTATCAGAAAGAAATAACAGTAAGTATAAATTTGTTAAAACAATTAAAAGGAAATGAGCTTTAACGATTAAAATAATAACTTACCGACATGTGGATGGTTCATAAACTGTAAATAAAAATTATTTTTTTTTAATTGCGAAATTTACAACAATAGTCACATATACGTTGATTTAATTAAAAGATAAAAGATGGCAATTCATACGGCTGTTGTCCAAAACCTTGGGATTTTTTCAAAGATTTTCCGTCGTTTTTCGTAAATTGGTGCCAAAAGCTTTACTTGCTGTCGTGCTATATTATGATTGTAAATAAAAATAAATATACTAAAATTAAATCATCTCTAGAAAATTTAGGATTCTAGTTTTTATTTTGTCAGCTTTAAACACCCTAAAGTCTATAAAACTGCTTACCAAGTTCTGTTTCTACTTGCTCAAATTCATGAAGCAAAGACTTCATCTCTTCAAAAACTCCATCGTTAACTGGTTGAGATTCGCCATTGTTTGTTTCGACTTTCGAGCTACTTGCCATCTTTACGGCGAATTTTTAAGATTTGCAGAAACCAACGAAGCAATTTAATTTACACGAGTTTATAGCCTTATAAATAGCATTTACGATTATAGCTAGCAAAGTTTCATTGGATTAACCGAAATTAGACAAGCTTTGTGCCACGATGTGCCAAGAAGAGGGGATCCGGCCCTGCAGAAGAACGATCATTATCCCGTTATACAAGCAATTATATACATTATTTATACTGTACAGTAATATACATATCGATATTTTAGTACGTAGTTATTTAAATATCAGATATAGTAATTTTCTTATTAAGTTGAAACATAGCGTCGAGATTTAAGCAATTCTCAGAAAGTCAAGATTATAGCACTTTTCATAAAATTTATAACTTTTATATTCTTGTAAATTTAAAAATGGATAAAAGTTCTCGATATAGTGTTTTGGCTGATGACACACTCGCAATTATTATCGAAAGGAATAAATGTAGGGAGGAAAATATTGACTATCCACACGAAAATACGATCGATAAGAATATGAACAAATTAAAGAATGGGATTAAAGAGTTAGAACAAGAATTATCAACAATAGAGGAATCAGGGACTATGTATGTGAAATGTAATTTTTTATTTATTTATTTTTTTAACTATCATATTTCTTTATGGTTCACTTATATAAATCTTTGAATTTAGGAGTTCCAAAGAGCTTAAAGAAAGGGAGGATGTACTTATCCGATTAACAAACCAAGTCGAAAAGCTTGAAACATTGGTACAAGATAGGCAAGACATCTCAGCAAGGTAATATATAAGGTAGATGGGGGTATTGTGGTTACCTGAAGTATCTCATGATATATCGATCCAAATCAAACAATTTTTATACCATTCGATTCGTCTTAGTGAGACGATTCGAATGGCTTAATTTGGATCACTGTATCATGAAATATTGACGTTTGAATATTTTAGTTTCATTTTTTTAAAACTCAAATTTATAAAATATTCAAACATCAATATCTCGTGACACAGTGATCCAAATCAAAAGATTTTTATACCATTCGAATCGTCTCACTGAGACGAATCGAAATCGTTTTATTTGGATCGATAGATCAAGAGATCGTAGCCGATTGTCCACAATTATGGTTGGGGGCACGGAAAATTTTTTGAGCATGCCTAGGAGGGCATGCCTCTCTGTGCTGGGCATGCCCTCTCTAGATATCATAATTGATTAACCTAACTTATGTCAAATCAACTATGATAATTAACCAATCAAATCAACGAAACTTCATATGTAAGATTTTTCTATATAAAAGAGTAGGGGACACCGTGCCTCCAACCCTATCCACAATACCCATCTATGGCCACTATATCTACTTTAATTTATAAAATATTCGGATCTAATTATCTCGTGATCTTATAATCAGAATCAAACGATTTTGGTACCATTCGATTCGTCTTGATAAGACGATTCTAGTGGTATAAAAATCACTTAATTTGGATCGATAGATCACGAGATATAATAATTTTTAGCTTAATGTGACCACAAAACCCATTTTACCTCATATAAGATCTTTCAAATTCTTGATTAAAAAAATTTTTTTTATATAATTATATTGTTTAGGGAGTTGCTTCTTGGACTTAATTCGACGCAAGGACCTTCTTCTAGACAAAAGACGAAGACAGTAAGATTTTCAGACCAAATAATAGAAGCGGAATATATGGAGAATTCTGAAGTTCTTCAATTACAACAGCGGATCATTCATGGTAAGGAAAAAATTACATTTTTTTTTTTTTATGCTTAGAATTTATTGATTATTAAAATTCGTTTTGAATTATTAGAACAGGATCGTGATTTAGATAGATTAAATGACGCTATAGGACGTCAAAGAGAACTAGGGATATTGATCGGTGATGAGCTGACTTATCAAGTTGAGTTATTAGAAGATACGGAAGGAATGGTTGATCAAACTGAAAGAACTCTAGATAAAGCAAAAAGGAGCCTCTCAAAGGTTTCGAAAGGAGTTAAAGATAATGGTAAATATGTTTCTTTTTTTCTTCTGTTTGTTTATTTCAATTATAAAAAATTTATAAAATTTTTTTAAATTATTTTTTAGGTTGTTATTGTGTAATTTTTTCATTAATCCTCGTACTTATTATTATAATTGTTCTTGCTAAATAGACATTTATCATTTCCTGGTTTAACACTTTTTATATAGACTTGTATTTTCTTTGGTATCTATTTCAATTAAATTACAATTTGATGTAAAAAAGAATAATATCATTAATTTGGATTCTGAAATGTAATTCTAAAAATATTCAAAATTGATTGTATATATTTTTATTATTTATTTTCTCAATCATAATTAATGATATTATTCTTCTGTAATATTATGTAGGATTTTTGTGTAGTTTTATAATGATTATATATTATAGCCCTTCGCAATAACCTAAATTATTTCTTAGACATTTAATTTATTTTGTCTTTGATTTTTTGCGTGAATTTTTGGTAATTTGATGTGATTGAGTAGACTCATTTTCCAAAATTGCACGTTTCTTTTTTTGAATTTCTTTAACGTTACCAAAATTTGTATCATGAAGATGCTAATATATAAAAAAGACGAGAAAATAAAAGATTTATTTGTTATTTCGATGTAATATAAATAATGATTAAATTTTGAAAAAATTTACCATCATAGCCACTCGTTTTGCTGTAGCAATTTCGTTTAAACTTTCTAATACCTTATTCTCACTAACTTTCCATTCTTCCATTTGTTTATCTAAAGAATTATTATTATTATTAATATTATTATTTTAAAATTAATAAATTCTAGGACTTCAAGAATATTATTGATCAATTGAATTTATTTACTTATTCTAGCTTCGATATTGTGAACAAGGTCTATGTCACGTTCCGTAACAATAGACAATGCTACACCACCTCTACCTAAAAAAAAAAAAAAAAAAATTCGACACATATTTAAAATTTAATTAAAAATTTTGAATACTATTGCTACATTATATTCTTACCAGCTCTTGCGGTTCGACCAACCCTATGAATATAATCAGCCGGATCCTTAGGTATATCAAAGTTAATAACAACTTGTACGGTAGGAATATCGAGACCTCTACATTATATATATATGATTAAAAAAAATGAAATGGATAAAAAAAATAAATATTAAATAAAATAAAAATAAATTAAATTATATATTTTTTTTTATTAAAAAATCTTGACCTATACTTACCGACTTCCAACATCAGTAGCTATTAAAATTTTTACAACTTCAGCCTTAAATTTTCCCAAACTATTTAATCTTTCTTTTTGACTCATTGTTGAATGTAAACTAGTACATCTAATATCCAATTCTACTAACATTACACGTAATAATTCAGCAGTTCGACAACGTCCACAAAATATTATTATGGATTTATTTAAGAATTCTTCAGAGCGAAGAAGATGTATTAAATATGATTCACGGACATGAGATGGAATGAAAATGTAATATTGTGCAAGAGTTGATACTGTTGATATACTAAAATCAAAAATTTATGAATATTAAACATTTAGGTGGAAATACTAATATATAAAAATTAAAAATTAAAATAAGATGAAACCAACTCTGATTTAATTTGATAGACGAAAGGCCTCTTTTCTGGGTCTTCTTCAATGTTTTCTAATGCTAGAATATTTTCTGTCATTGTCGCCGTAAATAATAAAGTTTGTCGTTTTGAAGGAATATTATCAAATATAACACTAAGGTCATTTGCGAATGTATCCGATAAAAGACGATCAGCTTCATCAAGTACCTTTATCAAATATGTTTATATAAATTAATGTAAAAAATAAATAATAATAAAAAAAACAATAACATGGAAAAGAACTTACTAAAAATCGAATCTTATTAAGACTTGATTTAATATCGCTACTATTAATATGATCTACTAATCTTCCAGGAGTTGCAATAATGACATGTGGTCTTCTCGAAAGTTGTATCGCTTGAGTCATCATATCTAGACCTCCAATTATAACACATTCTTTTAGATTTACTCCCTTACCAAGTACTCGAAATTGATCTGCAATTTGAATAGCTAATTCTCTGATCGAATAAATAAGAAATTATTAATCAGAATTATAATAAATTTTTAAAGTTAATTATTTTTTGATACCTCGTAGGAGTTAAAACGAGAGCGAAAATACCAAAAGGATCTTCAGATAATTTTTGTAAAATTGGCAATGCGAAAGCTGCAGTTTTACCACTTCCAGTCTTTGCCTCTCCTATACAATCTTTTCCTAATAAAATTTTTGGTATACATGCACTTTGAATTTCGGTTGGGAATTTTATAGACATTGCATTTAATGCTTCTATTAACCATGAATTCAGCCCCAATTGCTCAAAGCTTGTTGGAAGTATTGGATTTTTTGAAGAGGAATCTATTGAAGAAACATCATTTTCTTCTTCTGAAAACGACGACATTGGCACAAATGTTTTGAAATTTGCAATACCAAAATTTTTTTTTTATCGATACTGGTAATATAGATAGCGATCTGGCGTTTTATTGGTTATTTAGATCTTTGTTAGCACATGATTTGCAGTAGGTTTTGTCGACCAATTCAGATATGGAGTCCACGAGAATTTCGGACATGTGGTATCGATGCAAGGAATTTTTTACATTAATCCTATAATTAAAGTAGAAAAATTTTCATCACATCCCTTACATCGACACCATCGTGAGATCACTTTTTTATTATCACATGCGCAATTCTCATACGTACGATATCTATATCATGCATTATTTGATTGATTATAAGCATTTACCTTCTTGATGTATAATAAACAAAAGCAGTTTTATTTAAATTAACTACATATACATCCTTGAAATGTTAATATTTTTGTTACAAATTTAAATGAGCGACTAATACTTTAGAAGATTCCACCTACTCCAAGTATATCTTGGATATTTAATTAACCAAATGTTCAAAAGAAAAGAAAAGAAAAACGAATTCTACTATGTACAAAGTAATCATCTTTACTTCAAAAAATCCACCTGAAACTACTGAATTCTAAATTTTTACCGTATATACTACTCCTAATAAAATTCATCAAAAAAATTTTTTTTTAATGAACTTTCTTACGTTTTTTTGTTGATTTCTCTTGTTTGGCAGCCAATTCTTTTAATTGTCGCCTTTTTTCAAGTTCTCGTTCTTGCTGAGCCAAATCCAACTTATTATTATTCTGTATATTAAAGATAAATTTTGTAAAATACGTATAATATATAAAATAAATAAATCGGTAACAATTAACATAAGATGTCTCACCACATTTGATTTACCAAGGTCACGTGTCAGCCCATTAGGATTAGTATGTACACGTGACTGCAAAGCCCGTGAAGTAAATCCAGGCGATGATTCTCCAATTTCAATAATTTCAACAAAATCATCATCATCATCCAATGGAGTTAGTGAAGAATAATGAGGGTCATCGAGTGAACTTGGAAATTGAGGATCGTTATGCGGCGTAAATAATCTGGTAAGTTGTGTATCAGAAAGGCTTGGTAGTTTGATGGTTGCAAGTTGAGACATTGGAAAGTTTTCAAGAGCAGAAAGTGAAGGAGCCGATGAGGTATAAGACAAATTTTCAGAAAAAACCGAATTTTGTGGGAATCGATCTTTAATGTGAAACAAACAAAAGGATATTAATATTAATATATAATAGTAAAATAATATAGAAAATGGAAAAATATTTTAATTAATATACACTGAGGGATAACGCGTTCTGTTGCAGCTTTAAATAATCTTGAAAAATTAGGGTCATTATAAACATTTAAAGCCGCGTTGTTTTCTGAAACATTACAATTCTGGATGATCTAAAACAATAATTCATAAATTTAAACATTAAATGGGAAATTTTATAAAGGCGATTAAAAAATACCTGTTCAATTTCTTGATAAGATTTCTCCGGATCAAAGGACGGCGAAGTGTTAACTTGTATTATACAGTATTGACATGTAATTAATATGATTAATATGATTACACAGGGTAATACATAATAAGAACGGACTATTTAAAAGTTTAATCAATAGTTAAAAAAGACTTTTGAACATACCTGAACTTTTGCTAGATTTACCCGAAGTCTCCAATCTCATCAATGACATTAGACGAACCGTCTCACTAAATCGCTCCTCCTTTGATTTGATGTAATTATGCAATAATTCGAGTTGCTGATTATAAGCAGACGTTACTAATAAGTGAGGAAGAATGAAGTGTGTATATAGCACAGTTGCACTATCAACATAATCATCAGAATCAGACATTGATAAATCTTTAGGAGAAGAATTGGGGATTGATTTGCACGAAAAAGGCCAAATCAATTCCATTGGGCCCACATTTCTCTTTGATTCTAATAACAGCTTTGAAAATAACAGAATTAATGGCGAGAATGAGAAGTGTAGAGTATAAAATAAATATTTAAAAGAAAATTTTCACACATTTTCATTTTGCAGGCTAACTTTATGAGTAACGTCAGGACATTCGGGTAGTAAATATTCGGATAAAAAATGAAGATATTCGGGTAAACGTCCCTGGTCCAAAGTGACTTTCATTTCCTGGAATAAAAAAAAGTAAGCTACAAAGGTTAACAAATGGACTTTTAAATGCAAGACGAGAGTATTGGTAAGAAAAAGCCTTTGCTTTCCTGGAATCGTTTAGTTATCTCGTCAGCAAACAACTCTTCAAACCAGACGTACCGTAAGTTAGTGATAAGCATGAGATATGAATGGTCAGTGAAAACGGCTTTTGCAAGATAAGTTTCAGGGCAGTCGTTACTGGGTATAGAATTGACCCGTATAGGGACCCATAAAGCGGACCTTAGAGTTTCGTTGTGAATCGCTGAAAAAGCCATTGTTCGAATAAAGAGTAAAAAAACACTGGTATTGGGACACTAAAATGGATCTAGATTAGAATTCAATTGCATGCAACGTGGGAAATATTTGCACGTGATTAAGCATGAAGAAGTTACACAATACTGCAATATCACGCGATTTCTACGAACATTGTTTTTTTTTTTTTAAGTTCATGCAAATGTATAAAAGCGTGCTAACACATATGTTTAAAAACAAAAGAACATTCTTTGTAGATAAAAAAAACATTTTAAAAATTTTAGCTCGTTTGTCACATTTTGTTACATATTTGTGATTGTTCCTTCACTTAGAAACAAATGGCTTCAAAGTCAGTAACACGCAGATCGAATCCTGCATTTTTCATGTATGTAACATTAGCGGCGGCGGCAGTTGGATTCTTTGCAGTATATATATACCATCGAATGCAAACACAGAGTCGCGAGGCAAGAGATGATGAAGAAGACAATGAAGAGACGGTAAAAGCACAAGATCCACAAAGAGTAAAAATATTCACACAAGTTTTTTTATTAGACTAACATTGAGGAAAAAAAATTATTTTTCAAATTTTAGCCACGAATGGAGACACGTCGAACGGGCACAAATCAAGAAAGAGATCAAAGGAATCTTGCTGCTAGATTATTTAGGAATGTTATGATTCCAAAAAAGAAAACGATTTCAATATCAATGAAGAATGTAAGCTTAAAACATATTCATAAATTATTTGTTAATCCTCGTTAATCTTACACCTGAACGAGTTAATCATGTTAATCATGCTAATTATTCAAATTATTTAATTATGGCAATTATTCCAATTATGCCAATTATTGCTAATCACGCACGAATTTATTCAACAAGACATTGCTATGGAATCCATCACCGGATCCGGACAATCCAAACCATGCCTTTTTCGAAAACATAATTCCATTTCTTAATCGACTATCACAATTATACGTGATTTATCTCGTTTGTCCAGTTTCAAGCATACAGGAAAAAGAACAAATCCTCACACTACTTCGAAACGCACAACAATTTAGCAATGATGTCATTGATGAACGAAGGGTTTTGTTTTGTGAAACGGAAGAAGGGAAAATTCATATAATCAGACATCTTGAGACAAATGTCCACGTTGAAGGAGGTATGAACGGAGAAGAATGCGTAGAAATGGTCAGAAGTTTTGTAGACAATGTTATTTGGTTATTGCATGGAGACAACATAAGAAACGGAACATTAGCAGAAAGTAGCGAGATAAAATCAAATATTGACAGAAGTCAATGGACCAATGTCGAAGTCAGTCAGAACCTTTGGACAAGCAGTTTGAGTCATGAATAGAGATCCGACGCAGAAACAAAATTGTCACCTGCATGATAATCGGGTATCTGAATAAGAACGGGGTTATAAAAAATAAAATAAGGATCGTCCATAAAAATGTAGCTATAACTTAACAATGTGTTTTTATATTATAATAAATTAATTTGAATTATATCGTTTACATATTTAATTAATAATAACAAAATGTAAATATAATTATTATAATATCCGATATTGGTTACGCAATAACGTAAAATCACGATGGCTAATATTATTTGACTAACTATCTCAACTGTCAATTCTGCAATTAGTTAGTATATTACGTAAGCATGTTAATTCTGGTTACCTGTTATCTGTTATTGTATCTCCTAAAGCCAATTAAATTTCCGTAACGTGAAATTAAAGCAAATACTGCTATATGAAAACCTATAAAAAAACCACCTTAAAAAATTCCTTACAAATTTTAAATGATACATTTTAACTAAGGTAACACACAAGGCTAAACTGCATTATTAAAGAATATAAGAGCCCAACCCGAAACGTTTCCTTGAAAAGAGAGACGAATTCTATTTTAAGTCACGAGAATTCTGGCGAATTTCGAACCTGACACGAGGCAATAACTAGTAAGTACGAAAATACGAGATATTTAGAATTTTAGTAATTGATGCCGTAATTGATCAGTTAATTACTGTATATTTAGAATCTACTTAAGTAGATTTCAAATAAACATGGGTAAATACTGTAATAGAATTCTAAAATGTACTCAAGTTGTTAAAGAATTTATTGCTCGAAGAATTCACACCTAATTGGTTTAAGAAGTATATTAAGTAATAATCATGTAGTACTACGTTCTAAATGTACCTGAGCCAAAAAGCACTAGTTTTAGTAGGTTGACCAAATAAGGGATTTGAATGTCTTAATAAAATGTGACTGTGTGAAATATGTGACATGATATCATAAAAAAGATAATACCAGGTAACATGATTTGCATGAGTAAACATCAGAACATGCATCTTATCACTTACTTATTCATTTTCTAACACCGAAAACTCAGAAGTTCGGAGTCTAAACACACAATTAATTAAATATAGTACACATGAAAAAAACATTTGTTATTTAAAGATAAAAAAAAAAAAAAAAAAAAGTAAATAAATAAATAAAGGTATCACCAAACATTTGTAATTAGCCTCAGGGATTCGCAGATAGGTTCTTTATCGTTATATATATATATATATATATATATGAAAAAATGAAGGATATAATAGTACGTATAATAAATATATTATAAATTATAAATATCATAAATACATACGTATAAATTTATTATAAGTTTAAATTTTTAATTTAAAAATAATAATCTATTGCAAATCTCCCTGTCCAACATCTTCTAATTTCATTGTGTATCAAATAATAAACAAAAAATTTTCATAAAAAACCGCATCATTTCTTTATTTTCGTTCGCTTTGTCACTCCTGCAAGGATGTCGATGAACTAATCCATAAATTGATGATTAGAATGATCGATTCAATTCCACCAGTTAATTAAAGATTTTTTGATTCGGTAATTGCTAAATTCTCTGATATATTGTTACAAAAATAATAGATCAGTCCGATTATATGATTTTATATTGTAAAAATTTTTGACGGTAGATCTTTCACTTGGCATATCTGTTATAGTTGTTATTACAGTTACAGTATTACATATATTACATATATTACATCTACTACATCTATTAAAACTATTTACAGCTATTACAGCTATTTACAGAAATTACAGCTATTACAGCATTATAGTCTTATAGTCGTTAAACTTTTTTTATATGTTCAATTATAAAAATATACAATGGAATTTCATGGAACTTTAGGGATTTTTAGTGAATGTAGTACTATTGTCTACTAAAAGTTAGTCGATTATTAATTTTATTAATAGAGCATATAATCGACAAAAGTGTCTGTGATTATTAATAATAAATAACAATATTATATTTGTGTATATAAAAAATTGCACTAAAAACACCTAATCGTTTGTTGAATGTACAAAAAGGAAACCTTGGAGAAAAAGTCTGCGGACCTCAAGTTTACCACTGTTATGATAAATACATACATACGTAAGTACTCACTTAAAAGTACTTACTTAAAATACAAGATTTTTTTATTTACACAAATATATTTTATTTGTCAACTTTATATAACGATAAAATATCTCAATGATATGGTCATATCTGATATATATAATCCGTATTTAGATCAATATTTGGGATCTCTGTGAAACTAGATATATGCCCACAAGCTTAGTGGCGGTGACACTCACACCGAGTCCTGACCCACTGATCGTAGCCAACCTTTTTTTTTTTTGTCTTATTAAATATCTGTTTTGATAAACCTTTTTTTTTTTTTTTTTTTTTTCTTTTTTTTTTCTTACCCCCCCTACTCCACTGACTTACTGACTTCTCTGTATCGAAAACTTACAAAATCCCTTTCTTATTTTAACTTCTTTTATAAGTGTTAAGTCTCGCTTTTACTCTCTCAACTTCCCTTTATTATTTCACTGACCTTAGACGTTATCACTCATGTCGTCTAACGGTCGAGCTCAATCATGCTTTCAGAAGCTTAATCAAATGAACGAAGAAGCATGGCTGCAGATGGGTAGGATTTGATTTCCATTGCCACCCACGGGTTGTAATTATTTCTAAACTATTAAACAGTATTAAATTTCCCCATTTCCGACTCTGTGATAAATACATTTCTCGTTTATTATCTGAAACAAGTTGAAAATTTCTTTTTTTGCGCGTATAACTTATCCAAATAAATTCCTTACACGTCCACTCTTCTTGAATATATTCCTCTCTCATTTTAATTTATATTTCTTGTCTTGGAATTTCTCTAAATGATTCTCACTTTTATATCCCAGGTTCTGCGGCTGAATTAATGCAGGAATATGATCGCGCCATGAATGCTTATGAATCTGCTTTAAGACACAATTCTTATTCCATTACTGCTTTATCTAATATTGCCGCTCTTTGTCGGGGAAGAGAACAATTTCCAAAGGTATTATGCCGTTCAACCTTAATCTTTTCCTTTCTTTTGGATACTTTTAACTTTTTTTTTATTTTTTTTTTTCGTGTTTAACAGGCTGTCGAATATTTTCAAAGGATCTTAAATATTGATCAGGCAAATGGTGAAATTTGGGGTGCTTTAGGTAATTCCCTACCTCTTTTACCTAAGTCATTTCTTTTACTTCACGTGTGTGGTCCATCCATTCTTGATTTAGTCAAATCTCATTAAACTCTTGAAATTATAAATCTTTTTTTAAACTTTAATCATGTGACTATCTTTATTTACCTTAAATTTTTATTATTAATTTATTTGTAGGTCATTGTTATTTAATGATGGATGACCTTCAAAAAGCATACAGTGCTTATCAACAAGCTTTATTTCATTTACCCAATCCAAAGGTGTGGTATTAGAGTCGAGTCTTCGACCTATGATCTATTAAACACGTTCGTAACCTTTTCCTCGATGTTTTTACGTTCTCAAAGGAACCTAAGCTTTGGTACGGAATCGGTATATTATACGATCGTTATGGTTCTTTGGACCATGCCGAAGAAGCTTTCTCTCAAGTAATGATGATGGAGCCAAAATTTGAAAAGGCCAATGAGATTTACTTTAGATTAGGAATCATATACAAACAACAACAGAAATATGATCAGAGTTTAGGAGTGAGTCCATTATAATAATAATTAATAATAAATCTTATTATTTAACTATCATTATTAAATTTCATTAATCCATTTATTTTATATCAGTGTTTTAAATATATTTTACATAATCCTCCAAGACCTTTGACCGAAGTGGACATTTGGTTCCAAATTGGTCATGTATACGAACAACAAAAGAATGTAAGCTCAAAATATTTTAAAATTGTTTATTGTTGATATTCCTTGATTATTATTATTTATAAAAACTAAACTATTTATATTTTCATATTTTAGTTTATGTCTGCTAAGGAAGCTTATGAGCGTGTGTTGAATGATAACCCAAATCATGCAAAGGTTCTACAACAACTTGGGTGGCTTTATCATCAACAAAGTGCAAGTTTCACTAATCAAGATTTGGCAATTACATATCTAACGAAATCACTAGAGTCTGGTTCGTAATAATATATATATTTTTATCCTTATTCACTTATTATTAATAATAATTCACTTATTAATATTTAGTATTTGATTATTATTATTATCATAATTTTATTATTAACATTTAGATGGCACTGATGCTCAATCATGGTATCTTCTTGGGCGTTGTTATATGGCTCAACAAAAATATAATAAGGCTTATGAAGCTTATCAACAGGCCGTGTAAGTAATATGAAAATAATATAAAGTAATATAAATTAATATAAAAAAGTAATATAAATTAATATAAAAAGTAATATGAAATTAATATAAAGTACTGTAAGAGTAACATGAAGTTAATACGAGATTAATATGAAATTAATATTAACTTGATATAATAATTAGTATGAAAATTAATTACTAATCGTCAATTCACCATTAATTGTTATAAAATAGGTATCGTGATGGTCGTAATCCCACGTTTTGGTGTTCAATTGGTGTTCTTTACTATCAAATAAATCAGGTCTTTCTCTCTTTTATTTTTTTCTATTTTATTTTATTTTTTTTAAAAAAAAGTTAAATATAAGTGGGGAAATTTACTAAAATAAATAAAAATAAACTGATAGTTCCGAGATGCTTTGGATGCTTACAGTCGTGCGATTCGCCTGAATCCATACATTAGTGAAGTATGGTATGATCTTGGTACTCTATATGAATCTTGTAATAATCAGATAAATGATGCTCTTGATGCATATCAACGAGCTGCAGAATTGGATCCAAGTAATCCACATATCAAACAACGCTTGCAAATGTTGAGAAATCAACAACCACCAGGTGGTCAAACTTCTGCTCCAATTCCTCAAGATGTAAATCCTCAAGCGTACCAATCTAATGGTCCTCCTCCTATGCTTGGTGGTAATACTCCAACATTTGCTCAACCTCCTGGTCCGCCTGGTCCCCCAGGATATGGTGGTAGACCTATCGATAATCGTCCAAACCATCCATCTGTTCATCTTTCATCTCTTCATAATCATGGTGAAGGTTCTCATCGTGATTTACCACCAATGAATAGAAGAAGCCCTGGTCCATCAAATTATTCTCACGCTCCTCCGCCTCCTCTTCTTCGTGAGCCTAGACCGCCTACTCCTCCTAATCACACTCTTAATCCTGTAATGTCTCCACATGACCAAAGACCATTGACCCCTCATCAGCCTCAACAACCACTGCCTTCTTTACGTCACGGCGGTTCCGACAAGTGTACGACTCCTTCTCCACAACTTCCTTCACAACCTCCTCAAATTCAAATGCAAGAAGACCGTCATCCTAGGCATTCTCCTCAATTACCTGAACCATATCAACCAATGAGATCCGGTTTTCCTTCTGAACATGGCAGTTCTCAACTCTCTTCTTATCACCAACCCTCACATCATGATCATGATTCTGATATTTATGAAAAGATTAATAAATCTGGTGATCGACATGGCAATGGTGTTCCTCCTTATCACACTTCCGAACCTCTCACTTCACATGATCCTCTTCCACCTATTCAATACCATGAAAATCGTGAATTGGATTCAATAATGAAGAGACCTGATGAACCTCCACTTCGTCCAACTGATCATCCAAGGCCACAACACCCAAGTAGTCACCGCCCAGATGAAAGTTCGCTTGAGGATAAAGTAATTCCTTCTCCGTATCCTACTTACCGACAAGATGACCATCTTCCAAGACGTTCCACAGATATTAAACCTGAAACTCCTACTGTCCAGAGAGAGTCTCCTGTCAGAGAACCTTACGCTACTAATGAGCAACATAGTCCTATCTCCAACGTTTCAAATAATGATATTCCACGAAAATCTTCAACAGATCAAAGACCTGAAACACCACGAAATGATCTTTCAAAAATGTCAATTCCATATCAATCTGAACCTTCCCCACATTCCCCCCCCCTGGTGAACCAAGTCCACGTATTAACGAACAAAATAATCCTACATCATCAACTAGTCCTCTTGAAAATGATAAAATACCAATCCCTATTCGTACTAATTCTTCTGGTAATGAACGTTCATCGGGGTCCACAACTGTTCGTCCTGTCGATGAAGATTATGATGGAACTACTGATGATCCTGGTATTTCTGCTTCATCTGCTGCACAAAAACGTTCATACTCTCCATCAAAAATTGATGAGTTAGATGATCGTCGGGATGAAAGTAATGCTAAAAGAGTCAAACAATCAACAACACCCGTAGATGAAGCACAATCTCCAATATCATCTCATTCGGAGCGAGAAAGGGAACGAGATAGACAAAGGGAAAGACGAAAATCAGAACAAAGTGCAAATGGAAGTAATACTCAGTCCCCGGGAGGTGGTTCACCATGATGGTAAATTCAAACTTGAGAATAGATACATGAATAATAACTCAGTGTAATTATGCTTATCAGGTTTAACTAACCTGTTAATTTTTTTTTTCTAATCTGTGTTGGATCAAAATTTACGATTTGATTGGTTGATTTACGCGTTTTTAAAGTACGCTTATAAGCTATTATTATTATATGTTTTTAAAGTACTTTTAAGATTGTAATGCTTCATTTATAAAAAAAAATAAAAATCTTGATTATTTTTAGTTTTGCGTTTGTAACTTATTGGTGGTGAATATTTTATTATTCATTATTTTTAAATATTGTTAAAAAAAAGTTAGCGATTTTGATTTAAAATTAATCTTAATAGTAAATAGATTTTTAGAAAATTTTAAAATTTATTAGCTATTAAATTATGTATAATTATAAATATAAATATTATTAGCCAAATTAGTATTGTTATTATTACTGTTTTCAAAATTTTGTATTTTAATAAATATTTATATAATATATAAAAAAGATTTATAATTTTATATAATTTTAAAAAATTTAAAAGATTTTATAAATTTTATAAATAACTTTTTTTTTTTTTTTCCTTTAACAGTTGCGCTTGCTTTATTTATGAAGTTGTGAAGTTACAGTTAGATGGCTAGTCTAAAAAGAACCTCCTATGTTATCCTTCATTTCCTAATAAGAAGTACTACCCGATACTCCTTTATGTACCCAGATGTGACCTGTTGTACTAGAAACAACTTCTTAACATAAAAGAAAAAAAGAGAATCTAGGAACTTTATCCGACTGTATAGGGGTCAGACTATATAAAATATAATAAAATTGTTAAATCTAGTGAAAGCACTAAGCACATACTAGATAATAACATAAGTTTAAAACTATACTAAGGAAAAACTTGCGAGCAAGTTAAAAAACCTTAAAACAGTTAAAGAAAAACAAAGAGCAGAAAGAAAAGAAAAACAAAACAAAAAGACAAGAAAAGAAAGGCGTCCTAATTCTAAACCTAACCTAACAAGGAATGAGAACTCAGACTGAGTATTTAAAAATTATATATACAATTTTACTTGTTGTTACTTCTTAGGCTTCGAGAATTAAGTCTGAAGAAAGGTCTTCTTTAGCTAGCTGATCTGCTCTATCATTCCAAATATTTGAACTGTGTCCTTTTACTTTGATCAGATCTAGTTTAATTTCTTTCATTTTATAGCAGTCTATAATTTGATTGATTATACTATAGTTTTTTGCTTTGAAGTTGCTTCTTAGCTTTGAAAAGCCTTTAAAGTTATGAATTCTTTCGATTGCTACCTAATTTATAAGATTATTAATAACTTTTCATTTATTAATTTATTTAAAATAATTTAATTATTAAAATATTTGTCTTAATAAAATGATTAAAATAAATCTAAAATTATTAAAATCTAATTAATATTTTTTTTTAAATTTTATAAATTTTTAATTAAAAATTTTACTATATAGATAATCAATTTAAAAATTAGTTGTTTATATAAATTTATATAAATAATTTATTTTTAAGTTAATTGTTTATATAGTAAAATTCTAATTAAAATCATATAAAATTTAAAAAATATTAGAATTTAGTAATTAGATTTTGATAATTTTAAATTTATTTTAATTATTTTATTAAAACAAATATTTTAATAGCTAAATTATTTTAAATAAATTAATAAATCAAAAGTTATTAACAATTTTATAAATTAGTTTATATCAAATATATAATAAATATAAATTATTTAAAATAATTAAATAAATTATTTATAATTATATAAATTTTTTTTGTTTTATATTTATTAAAATTAAAAACATTAGCATTACAACTTTTATTAAAATTTTAAAAGTTATTTATCAAATTTCCATCATCAACTCTTCCTGACGATCCTTAAACCAAAAATGCTAGAAAAGAAAAAAGACTTTTATATATATAAATATACTCTATCTTTAAACAAAATACTCACGAGTGAGACTAGAGAAACTGGAAGTTCAGTAAAATGTATCTTTTCGATAAAGAGTAGGCCATGAGCCGGACATGGGTTATTGGCACTTTTGAATATTTTATCGTTTAAAAGAAGCTCTCAGAATATAGAAGTCACAAAAAGTTCTCGAATAGAGTCAAGTATAATAACTCTCTTTTTGCTTTTCAAGTTATTTTGAAACCACTTACTCTTTCTTCCTATACTACAAGCTGGTCTTGGGGACTGCTTTGGTGGTCTGGTGAATCTTGGAGTTTTTTTTTTTTCAAACAAAAAGTAGGGATCTAGCTTGCCCCCTACTGATAATCAGCATGCACGTCATTACTATTTTGGGAGTAGCTATATTGTTGTTGTAACAACAAACATGTGTAGTTATGTTATAGTTTGGGCTATTACTTTAGGCTACGATATTCACGTGAATAAGCTCTACACGTGTGGACAAAAACCAAATAG